TTGTGTCCTTTAGGGCAGCACTCTCCCTGAATGTACTGTTCTCAATCAACAAATTGCTCAGTGACAATCAGTAAATTTTCATATCCCGAGAAAATCAGAGAAGAATTGCTCTAAACCTTACTAGACTTACGGTCTGCTTCAATAAGACCAATTAGATTAACCCTATGCTGAGAACCACAGTATGCCAAATCTTAGGGCTTAGCTCATAGAAGTTTATTATTTCTGACTTGTGCAGAGTGGTCCATAGGTCCAGCAATTCCCCAGGGTACCTGTGCTCCATGATTGACTTGGGGACAAAGGTTGCTTTGGGTTGTGACTCCATCACCCCAAATCAAGGCCTTCATTATCTTCACAGCAAGGAAATGTTGGAAAATCGCAAAGGTGGTCTTCTCCACCTCAGTCAGAAGTGACACACCACACTTCCTCTCACATTTTTCAGCCACCACAAGTTCCATGGTCTTAGCTAACTTCAAGGAGAACTGGGACACGGAGTGTTATATAGGCCCAAAGGGGAGAACCAAAAAGCAGGATTTCTTGAATTCCTAATTATCATCTTTGCCATATGGTCATTGGAAATGAATGTAAGATAGTTTGTCACTCTACAAAAATGATGTCTTAGAACCATTTAAACTGTGTTCTGAATTTTATGCAAATTATAGAATGTCCAAATACCTAAATATTATATAGTAATTCAAAGTTACATTTTAAAAAGGCTTACAAAATGCCAATATAAGATGTCATACAATAATAAATATATTATGTCAATAATTTTATTAAAAATTAATATAGGCACAAAGATGCACAGAGACACTAGAAGACCAGGCACCAATACGCTAAGACTATTTGACTTCAAAAGGTGGCATTGATATGTTTTCATTGTCTTCCCTGTGTTTTTCTGTATTCCCTATTTTGTATAAGAAAGAATTATTACTTTTGATATCAAAAAGTAGGAGATTTTCTCCTAATTTACCAAAATAATATTCCTACATAGCCCAGAAACTATTAAATCACAAGTGGTATCATCTTTTAGGGCTTTGAATTCTAGGTACTCCTGGGGATTCATAAAATTTGCCAACAGGGAGCAGAGCCTTTGCCTTCTTTTAAAATAATAGTTCTAAAAATAATACCCTGCAGATTCCAGGCTTCACATGTGAGAAACACCAACTCCAGACTTGAGAAGGAAAATCACCAGGCTGAGAAAGTGTTACAAGCCCTGCTGTGGCAGGTGCTGGATGGTAGCAACAGGGACAAGCAGAGACACAGCAACAGCTGGAGCAGGTATCAGCCCCTTCTAGGAAGGCAAACTTAGGGCTTTGGAAAAATCAGGAGGTCTGGTGCATTTTAAGACAGGGTAAAGATGGGGGGAGGGAATTAGAAGAGGGAAGGAGATGAGAGAATCAGGGGAGTGGATGAGTGATAAAATTTGAGGGAGAGGAAGAAGGACCGGGAGAAAAGTGGCAATGGGCAATACAGTGGAGAAGAACTTGACAATTTGGGTCTTTGAAGCCAACTACACCTCAGTGCAGGTCTTGCTCTGCAATTCATCACCTGTACCCCTGGTTGAAATATTTAACCTGATCCTCATTTTTAAATTTTCTTTACTTGCTTTAATCCAAATAAAACACAGGATATTTTTAACAGTCTAATAGTGTCACATGGCTAATAGAAGTCTACCTGCCAGCCTTTCTATCCTTAATACCACTCTTCAAAAACACGACTTCAACTTTTCTGCTGATGTTTTGGGCATCTGCCTCCCTATTTCTAAAGAATAGGTCACATCAAAACTTCTTGCTCCTTCCATCTGGAACATTATCTACTGAATTCCCACTATGGAAAATGAGAATTCCCCTCCTTTCTAGAACTAGTCCGTCTCCCCTCAGTTCTACCCCACCCAACTCCCAGTATAGAGATATTTGCTCCCCTGCACCATCCACATGGTCACTTTTGGTTAAATCACTGCTCTGTGCTGAGACCATAATTACAACATAAGTATTATGTTGTAACCTGACCTAGGTTACAACACTCTCGTGGTCCTTTGACTTTCTGTTCACTCTCATTTTCATGTCTAGATGTATTACTAAAGTCTAATTTTTCAAGCCTAAACAGCAACAAAATAAATGTTTTTCAACAGCTCTGATACATCAGACTATAGGCAGTTTTAAATAACTGAAAAATTCTGTACCAACATCCCCTCCTGCTGGCCTTTGAGCCTCAGGTAACCACCATTCTGCTCTCTAAGGAAAGACATCATGCAGTGTTTTCAAACTTCAGTCATTTGGGTGCATCTCACAGTTTTGTTTTTTATTTTTCCTAATGTTTTCTTTAGTTTTTTTCCATAAACTGACCTGTGATTTTTTTAATCAAATAAAATCATTTTAAATAAAATCATTTCCAAAGGAAACTCTAATTAACAATTAGAAAATCCTATATAACTACTAAGCTAAAGAACATTTGCTTAAAAACAAAAAGCATCTACCTACCCTCTCTTGTATGTATGTTAAGTTGAGGGACCCATGTGCTATTTTCAGATACTGCAAAAAGTGTCTGAAGTATTTTGCGACTACAGAACAAACGAGAGTCACCTAGGACATGAATATCTTGTTCTATCAAGTTCATTATCACACTTAAATCTCACAATGACATGAAAAATGTTTTAATCTCCTGAATTTTTTGTAGTTAGAAACTTAGGCTAAGGAAGGTGTCAGAGTTTGGCTAAAGCCACCTCACATGGCCAGAAAGTAGTGGAAATGGAATTTGCCCTTCTGGTTTCCAATGTTCCAAGCTTTGGGCACTGGATACAAAAGGCCATGTATGGTGAATGCTTCTATGCAGTATGGGAAGGGCCATCACGGTGAACAGATGAGCTCCAATTCAGAAGAACCTTCCCCAGAGAAAAGATGGGTCTACCCTTAGCCTTCTCTTTAAAATATACAAAAAGGGAGAAGGGCCTCACAGCTCATCCAAATGCAAAAATAGACTCTCAGGAATGTCATGTGACTTGCATAAGGTCAGTTAGCACCTTTGCAAGAACAAGAATTTCTGTTTCTTGGCTCCCATTTTACCTTTTTATTTTGTTTGTATTTTCTCATTATATTTCATTTCTTTAAATGCTAGTCAAAATTTAATTACTAGTTCCTTGTCCAGACCATTGCTAATCACTTGTGTAACCTTGGACAAAGGTCCAGTACAGAGCTATCAGAGGAAAAATGATACCTGCCCTAACTTCGTCAGATTTGCTGAAGATACATTAATATAATAGACAAGAAAGTGCTCCTTATAAGTTGAAGGAAAGAGAAAAGTAGATGATCATTATAGAAGATCATTATAGAAGAAAACCTTATCATCAATTTGATGGTATTAACAAGCAGGGCCTTTAAAGATAAATGATGTCAGTGCCCTAAAAGCCCAAAGAGTTCATCATGTAAGGGCACAGCAAGAAGGTGCTGTCTGTGAACCAGGAGGAGGCCCCTCCCAGACTCCAAGTCTGCCAGTGCCTCCACCTTGAGTCTCCCAGTATCCAGAACTGTGAAAAATGCATGTTTGCTCTTCATAAGTCACCAATTTATGACATTTCTCTGTAGGAACACAAATGGATTAAGACAAAGGAGCTGAAGGAAAGAGGAAGGAAGAAAAAGGGAGAATAAAAAAAATAGTTATCATCACATACCATAAGTATACCTGTTATCTTTCTATCACCCCACCCACCCACCCAAGATATCCACTCTAGTCTGGCTGGGGTGGTGTGGATGACCTGTTTAGCAGCACAGGATGCTGGGCATCCTGGGAGCCAGAGGTCACCATGATGAATTGTACTAATGCTGTTCAAAGAAATGCTTTTTCATAGTTACAAACTTAGATTCCCATAACTTCTTGCCTGCTGCCATCCCTGAGGGATTGAGCTGATAGACACCTTTCAGTGCTGGAAGAAAGCTGACTGTGAGCTTTCACTGAGGGTGTGGTGGTCCTCCACAAACTGCCTGGGGACTGTGGCAAATTGCTCAGAAAGTCTCTGTTTCTTATAAACCACCCTGTTCTCATTGTGCTCTGCAGGATCTGAGCTGAAATCTGATTCATGGAGTGAGAATCAGAATACAAAATTATACATTTCTTCACTTTGGTTCCTCTTAGATATAATCTTGTCAAATGCTTGGGGCTGTTTAACTTTTATTAGTCATATCTCTCTCTCTCTCTCTCTCTCTCTCTCTCTCTCTCTCTCTCTCTCTCCCCCCCCCTTCTGAATTCCAGTTCCAAATATTGATCCATTAACTTTCTCTAATTTAATTTTCATAGATATATGTCATACAATTTGTCTTATTCTTGATGAAATAATCTTTCATGCATTTCTTTAGCAATATAGTGTAAGTGACATTTTAGCAACATGATAGCTATGTAAATAGTCTATTTTAAGAAATATTAAAATACCATGTATAATTTAGCTAAAGAATATTGTTTTATGAACCAACAAATATTCTTAGGCCCATGTTCACATACTGACAGTTACAAAGATTAAACTTGATGTTTAATTTAGGAGTATGTGTGGCTCCTCCAAGAAGCAATACCGAGACCCAGAAGTTTATCAAGGATGATGTTGTGAAATATTAAAGCAGTATAGGGGAGCAGAATCGGGCAGGGAGGGCCAGAGATTCAGGATGGGGATCAGATAAGTATCAGCCCACTCAAAGGGAAGTGTCAGAACAAATGCTTCCCATGAGAGATGCCTCACATTAGCCAGAAAGGACCTGGCCCTAGACCCCCGCCCTGCTGAATCATGTTACAGAGAATATCAAACTGCATGTGGTTTTACAGTAGTCAGCAGCTGTGGGCTCCATACCCACAGTAGGAACCAAAGGAGGATCAAAAATATTCCTCAAATGATATGTCTTGAGCTCTGTAATGTTTTGAACAACCAATAAAAAAAAAATAAAAAACAAATTAAGAATATAAAAAAAAATATTCCTCAAAGAAAAATTTATTCTAATCTAAATATGTGTGGACATTTTTTTTCTTATCACTGTTCCCTAAATAATACATTATTACAACTAGCAGCTGGGATTTGGTAGGGAGCCTCTGTCCTGTGGTCCTTCAAATGGACAGTGATTTGAGTCAAATCACCAGACTGAAGACACTCCTGAGAAATGAGGGCTCCCAGCAGGCAGGACACACAGGCTAATGTTGGGTGGGTCTCTGGAAGTTCTCAGAGAAGTGCAGTGATGTTCCACCCGTCCGGCTTTGGAACTAGCAGTCAAATGGACACTGATATTAAGAGGAACTATACTTTCTCTCTGAAAAAAAAATACAGAAAAATAAATCCCTCTGTAGGAACCCCCAGGAAAGCTTGTTACTTTCAGAAAATATTTTTCTTCCTTTTTCAATGCTTAGTGAAGATTAAAAGCAGAAGACAAATTGCACTGTTAGTTGTTTTTATACGTGAACCAAAAACATTCTGTAAAGATTCAATTTTAAATCAATAACGTTTCTGGAAGAATTGTATAGTCTGAAGTTCCCCAGGAGAGAATCATAATTTAGGGGTGAGGAAGAGCAACACGGAAGGTTTGCAGAATTTCTAATTAAAGAAATCAGCTCAAATGGGATGGTATTTCCCTGAAACATTCTGAATCATCCAATCTGGGGGCTGGAGAAGGGACGCAAGAGAGCATCTTGGCATCTTCCAGAACAAGAAGTTCACCAGAAAATCCTTACCTGTTCTTTTCCATAAGCCCTGGGACAATAAAAGAATGTTCATTCTCCCTTGATAGTACAGCCAGTCGGTGAGTCACCACGTCAATACTCATTGAGTACTTACTTAGCACCCACATTCATATTAAAAAGATGCCATTGGCATAATTGGGGGAAGCAGGAGACTCAAAGCCTCCTGGGACGTCAGCCTCATCAGTTTCAGGTCTCCACTCTTGCTATTCCCTCTTTTATTGATTTTTCTTCTCCATTCCTTCATCAGCAAAATGGAGATAAAATGTCCACAACTTCATATGGTTGATGAGAGCATCACAAGAAAAAGACATGGGCTTTGCATTCAGAAAGCCTTGACCAGGATTTATCCATGCTTTGCCCTTCTGTTACCTGTATGATGTTGTCAAATCTCTGCTTATTTTCTTCAACTGGAAAATGAAAGTGCAAAATACCCTAATGAGCTGTTGTGAAGATCAGAGACAATTTACCCAGTGTGGAACACACGTGTCTGGTAAATGGGTTACCTTATTTTCAAAGTAGTGCATAAACTGTGAAGTTCTGTGTGGATTATGGGAATGCCTTGCCTTAGCTGCGGCCTCTATGGTAACCCCATGCACTTGGTGCATTGAACCCAACAAGGTTGGGTATAAACATGAATGAGCTTTATTTCTCCCAACACTGCTTCTCCTCCATCCTCAATGCTCCCCATCAGTGTCTTATCTCAAAACCTTTTGCTGGCTGGTGTCCTCTTGCCTGGATGCTCAAGACTAGTTTTGAGGCTAAGGAAACACACACGTCTTCAGAAGCCAGGTAATAGAAAGAGAAGCCTGGTGTGGCACCCTCTCTGCCTGACAGTTCCTTCCTGCTCTCCTTCCACCTGCCCAGGTAAGCTCAGAATAGACCAATTGTTCCTGTTCCTAGCTGAATCCAACCAGGGCATGCTCTTCCTATCTTTACAGCACTTCTCCTTCCCTGAGCTACTGTGGAGTCCCCAACCACATAAACATTCCAACACCCCCAATGGTATGAAGAACACACTCCCTTCATCTTCATCACTCTCCTCTTCCTCTTCTCATTACCATCTTTATTTATAGGGTGTGGTTGTTTATTTATATAATGGAATTACAAAATCAATGACTAGTGTGGTGTCTCCAATTGAGCAACATGCTAACAAGCCTGGGAGAGCTGTCAGGCCCCAGTTTCCATGGGCTTCTTAGTGCTGTTCTCTCTTTATATGTTTCTTGGTTCTCAGATCTGGATCTTGACTGCCCATTCACTCAGCACACTGGGACACTGGGCTCACCTTGAATACTCTCCAGAAGTGTCAGGTATGTTGAATGGACAATAGGACCCAAGCATTGTAGTGAGATTGAGACTCCACTCTGGAAATGGAAGAGGGATGGACATGGAGCAGGAATTATTTAAGAATTCTTAGACTGACATTCTTATTTTTTACATAGCCAGAATTATAAAGCAATTTTCTTTTCTTCCAGCCAAACACTACATTCAGAGCTTACATATAATTAGCTCCAAGTCTGTAAAGACACTCAGATTCTTTCTCATCATTTGCTCTATCTTTGGTCATGTTCTTTATATCTGAGTTGAAAAGCCAATTCTTATTACCAGTCAATAGGGTGCATGCATCACCAAATATTAGTTCATTTTCTCTACGCAGTCATTCTGTGAAGTATTCATTGTTGTTCCATTCTTAGGAATAAGAAAACAAAGCCTCTGAGAAATTCAACAGCTCAGAGATCAGAAATCTATTGTGTGAAATAGAGGTTTTCTGATTCCACCTTTTGTGCTCCTCCCATCTCATGATATGACTGCCTCACTTGTCCTTCCAGATTATTCTCTAAACCCACTTTCTTGAGACAGCAAAGGACAGGGCAGAAACACAGAATTAGAATAGCCCCAGCTCAGGCATGTGAAGCCATCGATCTCTCTGGATCTGCTTCTTCTTTAAAAAAAAAAAAAGAAAGAAAAGAATGTGATGTCTGCATTGAAAGTTGCAAATACTAACTAAAATACCACATCTGAAAAGTGCTATGTAAACAATAAAGATCTCTAGGAGAGTTAGCTACAGCTTTTGTCTTCTCTGTGCTGTCTCATCTATTCTCACCCTGCTGGTCATTAGCAGCATGCAGTGGGTCTCTGACTCAGTTGGAAGATTCCTGAAGGCAGACACTATGCTCCTTTCCTCTCCACCCTCACAGTGCATGAGAGCACTGTGACCGAACACCACCTCACTCAGGGCACACCTGAAGAAAAGATGCAAGCTCACTAAAGAACACATGCTTCTCTCACACACTGCTCTTCAGACTGTAGATTGTGCACCAATTTTGGAAAAGAGTGTAGCAGTATCTATTACCATTGCGTGCCATATGTCTAAGAACAAAGTGATTCCATCTTCAGGTGTATATGCAACAGAAAATGCCTCTACATACACAGCAAAAAATAAAATGCTCTGGCAGCACTATTTATAATAGCTCAAACCTAAATATCCTCTATGGTTGAATGAATAGACTACAGTATATTGATGTAAAGCAATAATACAAGTAGTGAAAAGTGAGCTATGAATACATGCAACAATAGAGATAAGTATCACAGAAATAATGTTAGATAAAATGAACCAGACACAAGGAGTATATACCATTCCATTAATATAAGTTCACAAGCAGGAAAGATTACTCCATGATGTTTGAAGCCAAGAGAGTGGTCATTCTTTTAGAAGGAGTAATAACTAAAGGGTTTTGAAAGGACCCTTTGGAGTGCTGGTTGTGTTTGGTTTCTTTATCTAAGTGCTGTCTACATGGGTTTATTTAATTTGTGAAAACTCACCAAATTTTGCACTTTCCTATTTATATGCTTTATATCAATAAAAAAGTTTAAGAAAGAATAAATTGTTTAATGAATGAATGGAAAAACACAATGGAAAATAATACAAGCAAGTTTTGATAAAGAAGAGTTTAAAAGACCCAGAATGGCCTACATAAAGCCTTCTACAATCTAGTTGTTTTCCACTTCCCTAGCTTCATTTCTGCAATTCCTTCCATTCACTGGTTTTTTTTTGTTTGTTTGTTTGTTTTGTTTTGTTTTTACTGTGCATAATTGTTCATCATGTGCTATATTGTCAGTTTTACTGCATTCCCACAAGTTCACTGCAAATGCCTCCATACCTTGCACTCGCCGGCCTTAGCAAATGCTGCCGAATCAACACAGGATAGCCCTGCTAAGAGATTTGGTCCAAATCTTGGTCTTAACTTGTGTCCTTCCTTCCATATGAATTTACTTTTCCTCTTATGAGTGAATCAAGAAACCAAGTACCCCAACCACCAATATTTCACCTGTATTATTTTCTTTTTTATTATTTTTAATTGATTTTTTAAAAAATAAATGACAGCAGAATGCATTACAATTCAGATTACACATATAGAGCACAATTTTTCATACTTCTGGTTGTATATAAAGTATGTTCACACCAATTTGTGTCTTCATACATGTACTTTGGATAATGATGTCCATCACATTCCACCATCATTGCTAACACCCTGGCCCTTCCCATCCCTCCCACCCCTCTGCCCTGTCTAGAGTTCCTCTATTCCTCCCATGCTCCCTCTCCTTACCCCACCTTTTATCAGAGAAAACATTCGGCTTTTTTTTTTTTTTAAATTGGCTGACTTCACTTAGCACTATCTTCTCCAACACCATCCAGTTACCTGAAAATGCCATGATTTTATTCTTTTTTATGATGAGTAATATTTCATTGTATATATATATATGCCACAATTTTTTATCCATTCATGTACTGAAGGGCATCTAGGTTGTTCCATAGTGTAGCTATTGTGAACTGTGGTGCTATAAACAATGATGTGGCTGTGTCCCTATAGTATGCTGATTTTAAGTCCTTTGGGTATAGACCAAGGACAGGGATAGCTGGATCAAATAGTTATTCCATTCCCAGTTTTCCAAGGATTCTCCATACTGCTTTCCAAATTGGCTGCACCAATTTGCAGTCCCACCAGCAACATATGAGTGTGCCTTTTTCCCCACATACTCGCCAACTCTTATTATTGTCTTCATAATAACTGCCATTCTGACAGGAGTGTGATGAAATCTTAGAGTAGTTTTTATTTGCATTTCTCTAATTGCTAGAGATGATGAAGATTTTTTCATATATTTGTTAATTGATTGTATATCTTCTTCTGAGAAGTGTCTGTTTAGGTTTTTTGCCCATTTATTGATTGGGTTATTTTGGGTTTTTGGTGTTTAGTTTTTTGAGTTCTTTATATACTGAAGAGATTAGTGCTCTGTGTAAGGGGTAAACATTTGCTCCCAAGTGTAGGTTCTCTATTCATCTCACAGATTGTTTCTATTGCTGAAAAGAAAATGTTAGTTTGAATCCATCCCATTTATTGATTCTTGGTTTTAATTCTTGTGCTATAGGAGTCTTATTAAGGAAGTTAGGGCCTACTTTCTCTTCCATTTGACGCAGAGTCTCTGGTTTAATTCCTAGGTCCTTGATCCCCTTTGAGTTGAGTTTTGTGCATGGTGAGAGATAGAGGTTTAATTTCATTTTGTTGCATACGGATTTCCAGTTTTCCCAGCACCATTTGTTGAAGAGGCTATCTTTTCTCCAATGTATGTTTTTGGTACCTTTGTCTAATATAAGCTATCTGTAATTATGTGGGTTAGTCTCTGTGTCCTCTATTCTGTACCATTGGTCTGCCAGTCTGTTTACCTGTAGTATTTTCAACTAGAGACTATCATTAAACACACACTGGTCATGAATTGGTGATGTCTTTCCCATAGTACTTCATTCTCACAGTTATAGCCCAAGAATCAGTATGTCCACCATCTATTCCCCAAATGCAGCATGAAAGGCAACAAAAAAAAGGTTCTAAGAACAGGATATATGCATTTATGTTCCCTGTCACCAATATTCCTGACTAGGGTCTTCATCTACATCTATATCATATCTGCAAACTAGATGAGTACAATACAGAGTGACACCTGGCCAGCTATTCCTTCATCATCTGAAACAAATGATACTGGTTTCTTCCATTTGCTTACAAGCAAGGGAGCAGTCAACCACACGGTGGAGTAAGACTTGTTTGTACTGGCGGCTGCCATCCACACAGTTGTAGATTTATTATAAAGACTGATATGATTACAGTGGCAGTCAGATGATCAAAGTGTTCTAGGACATACTGTATCTTAGTGTGAGCCTTTGTTTTGTCTTTTACTAACAATCTCCACTTTATTTTCTTGAATTGAGGGCTGCAGCCATGTCTCTAGTGACACAGACCAACTTCTTAGGACCTGGAGGAAAATGACAGTGCTCTCCAGGGAGATTTTGGCTCTGGCTCATATTCGTGTGAGTGTGCTAAGTAGCAGAGGCAAATGCTTTTCTCCCACCTCCCAAGTCCTTATCTCTGATCAGATTCTCAGCTATTTCTGACGCTTCTCTTTTTTTAATGATGTTTGCTCAAACTACCTTGAAGAGTTCTAAGGTGGGGGGCGCTCTAGATCTATGCAGCCATGGTCCTTCATACATATTTGGGGTAAAGCCTGTTTTAGTTAATTGGATTAGTTTATTTTTTACTTTGATTCAATTAAAGCCTGTTTTGTTTTTTTAGTTCCTTGTGTCCATGTCTTTCTGCATGCACAAGAGTCTCCGTTTCTCACAGATGGGGAAATGGTTATCACAATAACCTCTGAGGGTACACACTAGACATTCTAAGAATATCTGGTGAATTATCCTCCTTGTGGAAGAGAAATTCTCATTGAGAAAAATCAAAGGCCTCAATAAAGTCAAAATCTGCTGTTTCAATTTTTCCATCCCTCTGCCATAGAAAGAAAACAGACCGGTTTGATGTTATCGATTCTTTGCAAAGCCTTGCAGTTTTTCACCCAAAACCTTGTGCTCTTATGTCTGCTTAGGGATTGATTTCTGGAGAGAGGTTTGGTTTGTTTGTTTCACACTATGACACTCGGATGGATCCACGCCATGCCACACCACCCTCTCTCCTTTCAGGAGAACAGACTGAAATTGCTCCTTTCCTGCACTCTGACCACCTCCCCCAAGCTTCTTGAATCATTTAAAATCATTTCTAGTGGTTGCAGTATCCCAATTAGACTTCAAGTAAACTTGAACTCACCAATTAAAAATGCAGTGCTCTTAGTTAAAATGTAACCAAGATTTCCCCCGGCCATGTCAATATAGTAGTTAAAATGAAATTTTCTTAACATTGATAAAATAGTATATTTCTGCTTCCTCTTCACAAACTATTATGAGACTCCCATCTAAGTTAAAGTCTTCCCCACAAAACATTCCTGGGGTCACTGAGGATGCCTGGCACATTTGCAAACAAATCCTCTGGGCCCTGCCCCTGGGGACCCACCATGTTCTTCTCTCCCAGTCCCCTGCTTTGACTGTGTCTTCTCGTCATCAACCATGAAACCATCATGAAGCTGCCTTCCATTCCTGTGGTTTTGTTATCACCCACCGAAGAGGGACATCTGCTACCACTTCTTCACTTGAGAGAGAAGCTAGTGTAGCTAATTCCCAGATGGATGAGACTGTGCTGCCTTCTGGAAAATTCTAACCTCTCTTGGAATCTCCCTAGAGTAGTCCTGCCTCAGGGATTTGCATCTTCTGTGCTTTTGCAGGGATGGTTCTTTTAGGTTTTACTCTCAGTTCCCTCTCCATAGGAACAGGCCAGGTATAACAACTGGGCCCTGAACAAGCTGAGTGGCAGACACTGGGCATGATTCAAATGACCCTGCACTTTCATGTATACCAAAGTATTCTAGACAAAATCCTTTGTCCAAACTCTGTCTCTGCTCTGAAAGATGTCTTTCCCCAAGAAATCCGTAGTTCATCACAATAGAATGCTTGTGGGTGTGTCGAAATGGCCTTTAGACATAACCACATATATTCACATCAGAGTATGTAGGACTGTTGTTTAGAGTCAAGCTGAGATCTCTACAGTATACAATAGGAAACTGACATCTGTACCCATGTACTCTCCTTTCCCAGTCTCTCATCCTGTATTTTACCTTGTCCACAGTTTATAGGTAACATTTAAATTTTTCTATTCTTTAGTCAATTCAATTAAATTCAGTAAGGCTATGCACAATGGTACATGCCTGTAATCCCAGCAACTCAGAGGCAGGAGGATGGCAACTTCAAGGCCAGCCTCTGAAACTCAGCAAGAGTTTCAAAATAAAATCAAAATAAAATAGGATTTGGATATAGTTTAGTAGTATAGCACTCCTGGGTTCAATCCCCAGTACTAAAAAGAAATTAGTAAGAACTTACTGAGAACTTCCAATATGCCATATTTGTCAGTCCTGGGGTGCATAGATAAATAAACCAGGAACCCTGTACTCCAGGTTTTTAGCCTGATGGAAGATGTAAATAAGTATTTACCATGCAGGTTGATGATATTTGTGGTAGGGGTTAAATACAGCTACTGTGGGAACACAAACAGAGAAACTTCTTTAGTTCAGGGATCAGAGATTTCCTGAAAGAGATAATGTCAAAGTTGGGTGGTGAAGGACAAGTAGGCCCCACTGGATGGGTTGGATTGGAGACAAGGAGGGCAGAGAGAATATCGTGAGCCCAGATTCTGAGGTAGGCAACCCATGGTGTTCTTGGGGGGAAACTCCAAGTTATGGGGCATTATGAGAACATGAGGTGAAGGCTTAGGCAAGGCTAGTATAGGAGGTTGCATCTATTTGTGGCTGCTAAGACTTATGACCATATCTTTATATTTAGCTTGTTTCCCATTTCCAGGCCATGAGGGTTTGCATTTTCTCCATGAGTTTTCCAAGAGAAAGCACAATCATTCTAGCTACCTGTCCCTTACACAAAAGAAGCTTCATATCTTTCAATTGGTAAAACACATGTAACAGAAAAACTAAAACTTCAGCAGAGATAACTTCTGCTGTGATTTCTTCAAGCATTGGTGATTCACCTTCGAGATCTTTAATTTACCATTCCTGTAGATGCTGCAGAATTCAGCATCTATGCCCTAGGATACTGAAGAGAAAGGAACTCAGAGGCTGGCAGTTTCTTGGTGAAGTGACATGCCAATATACCATCTCTGACCAAGGTGACTCCAACACCTTCGTGTATGGTCAGCTTTTTTATGCACTTAAAACTGAAAGGCTGTCACTCAGAGCAGCTCCCTGACCACTTTTTAACTGGGTGTAGTGAAATTGTTCTGCACATAATACAAACAAGAGGAGATGGCAATATTAAATCATCAGGATGGAGGACAGACTAACAAAACAATTCAGTAGTTTAATACAAAAATTACTTTGCATGTTCATCTCCGAGTCCGATACAGCAGAGAGGAGCTCTGTTCCAGCCCTCATCCCTGTATCCAGGCTTCATCCATTTGCTGTTTAACTGTCTTCAACTGTCTTGAAAGTTTCCATGGAAGAGAAAAAGGGAGCACAGAGAATTTCACGGAAAAGGAGGTGTTAGTCTAGGAATGTTCGTCATGACTCCTGCACCTGTATGTGCTCATGTTCGGGACTCAGTCATGCAGGCTCAATCCAATTCCAAATGTGCTCTAGAAGAAAATGAGGCCATTTAGCTAAACACATGGCATTACCTCAGACACACTAAGGAAGAAGAAAAAACTAGAGCTGACAATTTTCTTTTGTAGCATTGATCACTAACTCGAGGGAACATACAGAAAACATGCAGTTATCACCCACTATAATAACTATTGAACATTAAGCCACTTCCTTGTGATGAGGTCAGTATGGACTTACCATCCTAGACACTAAGAATGGCATTTTATACTTAAGTGCCTAGATATATATGTTTATGAACATTAGAAACATTTAAAAGAAGCTGTTACAGTTTGAATCTTTAAGGCCCCCTGAAAAGCTCATGAGTTAGACAATGCACAAATATCAGAGGTAAAATGACTATGAGAGCTGTGATTTCATCAGTAGATTAATCCACTTGATGGATTAATAATCTGAATGTACTACTGTGTGGTAACTATAGACAGGTGGGATGCTGTTGGAGGAAGTAGGTCACCGGAGGCCTGACCTTGGGAACTATATCTGTCCCTGGCCTGGCTCCTCCCCTGCCCTCCCTCTGGCTCTCTGCTTCCCAGCTCTCCTCTGCCACTGCCACACCCTTCCAGCACGGTGTCCTGCCTCACCTGTCTCAGAGCAATGGAGTCATCTAACCATGCACCAGAACCATGAGCCAAAATGAACCTTTCCCCGCTAAGTGGTTCTCGTCAGGTATTCTGGTCACAGAGATGAAAAGCTCACTAGCACAGAAGTCTTGTAAATGACCACAGAGAACCAGAGGATGGAATGTACAGCTTTTGAAGCAATAAGAATCTGTGAGTTTTGCTAATAAATGCTATAGTCTGAGAAATGTCCTTTACTGTGTTCCCTTCTGAGTCTATACTGTTAAATTTCCTATTTTTTTCCATATAACAAGATATCACATTCATAAAAACACCCAGCAAAAGCCATCTTCACAGACTACTCCTCATTGACTGTGGTTGCAAAAGAATCAAATTAAACTTGAGAGAAAAAAAATGTACCTTTTCATCATCCAGGAGCAAATATCTACTTAATGACAGGGACTATGTAACATTTACACATAGATCTAAAATATTAGCATCTTGGGAGGAATGATAGAATATAAAGAAGGTCATTTTGGTTCATTACATCAGCTTCTTGCAAAGCTTCACAGACTTCTGAGTTAATTCTACAATTTTTATGTTTATCATTTCAGTGCCTAGATCTATTTGTGGGTTGGCCATTTTTTTTAATCCACCAAAAAAAATTACAAAACATCTTTTTTTTTACTTTTACCAAGCTTTAGATGTTATAAGGGAATATAAAAGCAAATAGCTTACATAAAGACATTTCAGTTCAAGAAATACTTTTATAATGCTGGTTTGGGAGTGGTATTGAAACTCATCTTATGGTAGTTGTCATTTTGTGTCAAACTTCTGTCACATTTTGTGTTCCTCTTTCCACCCTTGGGTAATCACAGTCATTAATATTTTGATAATGTGAAGCATCTTCTTATCCCTATTGGCATAGTGACCAAAATGATATACACGTAATCATGTTTTTAAATAATAAAATGTTGCCATTGCTCTTGGTTGACCTTATTCAGGCAGAGGTGGCTCTCTCTCCCCTGTATGCATTCCTCCATGACAGTTTCCTCCTCTTGGATTGTGATTATCTATCACACAGTCAAGACTTGTGATAGGTCTAAGTTTCCTAAAGAACAAACTGAATATATTAACTCTCAAAAAATATGTGAAAGTAGGCTTCAAGGAAAGCTAAATTGGGATATTTAAATTACAAGTTTTCTCTCCCTTTTTGCCCTCTGTTATTCTCTCTCTCTCTCTCTCTCTCTCTCTCTCTCTCTCTCTCTCTCCCCACCCCCATCCCCTTTCTCTCCATCTTTAGTTATGCTTCCTCAAAGAGTTTGGAGACATTCTGTCCCTGGGGGTAAAAGAAAGCTTATTGAGTCTCAGTTTACATGATCTTCTAGCTTCTTAATTTCAGGAGGTACTCATCCTAAATCACAAGTCCTTTTGCCCCCGCCACACACACACACACACACACACACACACACACACACACACACACATAGAACTCTAATTGGTTCTCCTGGATGAATCACTCTGGCTTAGGGAAAAGAGAATATTTGATTCTCAGGCTTTAGTCAGAGCTCTGTTCACTCTGGATTTCAGGAAGTTCTCCCTTTAATCTCCAAATCAACACTTCTGCTTCTAGTGTACATATGACACCTTCAAGTGAAATTCATCTGAGCTGGATTCATTTGAGGAGGGACACTGAGCGCAACTTCAGGAGGTCCACTTTGATGTGGAAAGGAGTGAATTTTTAAAAGTTGAGGATAAAATGTGCATCACAAAATGCAGATTTTGGGGACAAATGGAGGCAGCTAATAGAAGAGCATATCCGGTAGGTCATGAGGCTGAGGTGGAAAGAATTAGGGAAGAAATTGATGGGAATAAAACCCCAAAAGAGAGAACCATGGGATGTCTCATTTCTAGTGATCTAGTGAGCTCTTCAATTAGAGCTTTGGTTTCCTTCTCCTCATCTCTATGAGTCAGGGGTAATAGAAAGAGATATAAGAGCTACACTTTTGAATCACCTCTAGGGTTCAAACTTATAGGACACTACAGTACTCTGTTCTCCAAAGTTGCTTCCAGGTCTTTCTATGAAAAGTGGATTAATGCAGGCCTAGTCTGTGTCCACCACAGAGCTTCTGTTTTGCAGCTGTCAGTATAGACCATTCTAGTGGCATTTTAGACCAACTTCTTATGACCTCAGGCTTTAGAGGATAATCATCTTTATAAAGTATCTTTATCACTGTCATCAACCATGGTCTATGACACAGTTGACCTTTACCCCACCTCTGCCTCTAGTGTCAGTCAATTTAGCATCCACCCTTATGATTCATCTACTGCCTTGACTTCATAATTATTTCAATTGTTGTTTAAATAATGTCCTACTCTTCTCCATTTCATCCATCTAGTAATGTGTATTTTAACAGAGAACATTTGCATGTAATGCCTAACACATAAAGATAAACTCAGTTCAAATATATGAATTACTAAGGTAGAGGCCAGCAAGGAAGATATTTTGTACTCATACAGTTTTTTAGAACAGTTCAAATTTGTTATATTCTTTTATAACCCTCAGTCAGTCACCTATAATTACCTACCTGACTGCCCCCAATGTGGACACCCTTTTAGTTCTTTCTACTTGCCTGTTCATATTTTGTTTTCAAAGCAAAATTAAGGGACATTGGCTCCATATGGTAATTCTTGTTCTGTTGTGTGAACTTGCCACAAGGATAAGAGCAGAATGCCATGTCATGTATTAAATTCAGGAAATCCGGATGAGCTGAAACAACTTCCAAAAAAGAACAATATTGGAATACTCACTTCCCAATTTCAAAACTTACTACAAAGTTATGATAATCAATGTAATAAGGATAAACATATAAATCAATAGAATAGAATTTAAAATAGAAGCAATCACTAATGACTATAGTCAATTTGTTTTTTGACAAAGACAATTCAGTGGGTAAAGGAAAAGTCTTTACAATAAATGGTGCTGGGACAAGAAAATACTACATTCAAAAGAATGAAGTTGGACCCCTACCTCACACCACACATAAAACTCAACTCAGCATGGGTCAAAGATCTCAATGTAAGACTAAAACTGCCCATCTCTTAGGATAGAACATAAGGTTAGTGCTTTTAACCTTGGATTTGGCTATCTATCTTACATGTGACACTAAGTACACAAACAGGAAAAAATACATATGTTGGGCTTCATCAAAAGTAAAAACTTGTGCTTCAAAGGACACCATCAAGCAAGTGAAAGAACCCGAAGAATTGGAAAAAACATTCGCGAATCATATATCTTATAAAAAGGATAGTATGTGGTATACAACAGAACTCTTAGAACTCAATAATTCAAAAACAATCAAACTAAAAATTAGAAAGGGGAAAACAAAACAAAAATAAATAGAAAAAGGATATCAATAGATTTTTCTCCAAAAAAGATATGGAAATGGCCAATAAACACATAAAAATGCACAACATCATTAGCCACCAGGGAAATTCAAAACCAAAATCACCATGATATATCACTGTGCATGCACCAGGATGGCTAAAATAGAAAAGGTAGATGTTGGCAAAGATGTGGAGAAGGCAGAACCTTCACATACTGCTGGTGGGAATATAAAATCTTGCTTCAACGTTGGGAAACAGTCTGGCAGTTCCTCAAAAGGTTAAAGTAGTGTCATCTTATGGCCCAGCCATTCTACTCCTACCCAGGAGAAATGAAAATACATGTCTACACCTGTACATTAATGTAATATCCATCAAATGATGAATATGTAAACAAAATGTGGTATGTCCATATAATGGAGGTGGCATAACAAGAAATAAAGCACTGATATATGCTACAACTGAACAAACGGACTTTATATAAGGTGAAAAAATAAGACAGTAATGGAGGATTGTCTGGTTTCTTAAAAGAACACCAAGAATAAGCATATCTATACAAACAAGGTAGATACGTTATCTCGTAGGGTTTGGAGGAAGTGGGGAATAACTTTTAATAGTTAGAATACTCTTTTCAACATGATTAAAATGTTCTAAAATCGATTGTGATGATGTTTACACAACTGTAAACATGCTAAAAACTTTTGAGCATCTTAAATGGATGAATTGTACAGTATATGAATAATATATCTGTAAAGCTGTATGGTTTTCTTTTACGTGTCATGCATCTTTTACTAACCCAGAGGAAAGAAAACCATCATGAGTTCATAAGAAAATTGTCTTTCTGATCTTGACCTAGCTATCATTCTGAAAAACGTGTTCTTTTATTTATATTCCGGAATATTAGACAGGTTCTTCAATTCCCCAGTCATCAGGGTTTGAAATATGAAGGAATTGCCTTAAAAATATCCCAATTTAAGGGCTTTTTTGCAAATCTCTCATAAATGTGTCACCATGTTTTATGCTGAATGCTCTCTGTTACTTGAGAATTGTTTTGTAAATTCATTCTTCTTTTCAAGGTTAAGCATTTACTATGAAGACATATGATACTTTCTTTATGACCCTCTAGTATCAAGACTTAGTTCCCTGATTTCTTCTGCTAAAACCACTGGGCTCTGACCTAAATATATATATATTTATATTTATATTCAAAAGGTTTTACTATCGGGCAAGATCACAAGATCACAAGAGCTCTACTTCTTGACACTTGCCTTGGTAAGAAAATCAGAGCTTTTCCTCTTGCTCTGGAGATGCAGCCTTTCAGAATCCATAGACCACTCTGTAAGGCCACATGTAGGTGTCCAGTTGACAGCCCCAGGTTGGCACAGTCATTGATCACACGTGTGGGGAAGACGCCTCCAGATGAGTCAGCCCTCGGCTGGCTGAGTCACACTAGATATCAGGGAGGAGAGAAGCCACATCCAGTGTGTGGTCTGAATTCTTAACCAAAAAAGACTAGTGAGCATAGTAAAATGGTTGCTCCAACACCGAGGTCCAGGTCACCTCTCACTGCAGTCCAGCAACTGGAACAGTCAGCGTCCTCCCAAGTCACACAAGTGACCTGAGAGACGAGAATGTATGTTTCTGGAAATGTGAGTCAGAATGAGGCAGATGGTAAGAGCCAACTCAGATGGTGACACTGATTCCTGGAGGCAATCCTCCAGGAACAAAAACTCAGACACGATGGAGCAGAACTCAGGTCTCTAGAAACATTAAGAATATTGAGGTGAAGCCGAGACCTAACTGCGGATTATAAGAGGGAGGCAGGTGTGGGATAACTGACAGCAGGTGATTGCAAGCTGAGTTTCAGGAGGAAGGCAAAGGACCTTTTATGTTCATGATGATGATGTTTTAATCCTTGTTTCTGATCTGAAGGAGGGAACTCTGGGGCAGGATGTCAGCATCAGCATCCTAGAAGTAGATCTATCAGCTTCTGCTCTTTCTCAAACTAGTAATCTGGGATTCTTCTCCACTGCCCTCTGGTCCTCACCCCCATATCTAATAATGGGAGACAAAAGGGTAGAAGCTGTCTGGTTTTGATTCAGAGCATCCACTTCCTAGCTGTGAATTCTTGGGCAACTTATTTAATTTCTTAGGCAACTTATTTAATTTCTCCAAAGCTGTTTCCACATCTCTAAGTGGGGATTATAATACTAGCTACTATATGGGATTTTCCAAAGACTCTATGAGTTAACATGTGCCAAGAACCTGAAGCAGACTCTGGAATATAGTAATTCCTCAACAAATTCTAGCTGCTGACCTCCTCACTGGTCAACTCTGGCAATCACGCTTCTTACTGATCTTTTAAAGGTGTCCTCTCCACCTTCGTATGTCATTTCTTCTGGTCCTCCTCCAACCCACCCTCCACAATGACCCCAGTGTTATCCATCTACAGAGGTGGTCAGTACCCAACTTACAGGTCAGCCAGAGGCCCTTCCTTACCTCAAAGTGCACGTGATCCCTGCCCATGTTTGGTCCCCGCATGGCCAGTCTTCTCTCCCCAGATTTGGAATCTTGTAGCCTTTCTTCTTGTGACTGCACTGACCTTCCCTCATGTCTGTTTCGTCTTCAACAGTGAACGCCCTCTGCCCTCACTCTTCCCCCTCCCCTGTGGTCATCTGTGGGAAAATGTCCTTGCAAGGCATGCTGCAATCTTAATGAGAACCCACTGACAGAAACCTCATTCTCAGAACTTTCTGTGCTTCATTCTGAAGCAAAAAAATGAAAAGGGGGATGTTCTCAGGAAATTCGCTTCTAGTGATTTCCAGGTTCTTTTCCAAGAGTCCTTTAGTGTAAGCCACCTACTGAGGTCTGTGCTGACCACTCTCACACCCCCACCTCCCAGGGCATGGCTGTGGGCAATGCCCACCCACAGCTGAACAGCTGCACCATCCTTTACCCAGCTCGCAACACCGTTCACATCTGAAAGAATCTGAGAATTTCTTTCTGCTTCGGGGAGGAGCTGGGGAGAGGGGAGAGCAGTTCAGCAAAGCCGTCCTGAGAGTAAGGAAACTATATTATTATTAGTGATCCTGCTCTTATTTTCCCACCCTAACTTCCTTGACGCACGTCCAGACAACACGGAAAAGGAGAGTGCACAGATGCTAGGTGTGAGACACACTGGGCGTGACACCATCGCCCTGACAGGGGGTACCTTTGTAATTTACTGCCTATACTCTTCCCTCCTCTTCATAAAATGCAAACCGCCCGGGGCTCACTATTTGGATCACTTTATACATGTAGTTCACAGCACAGTGGCCGCACATAGTGGGCTCTTCACACTAGGTGACTGAATGGTGGACATGACTCACGAAGCCATAATTGGCAGGGATCTTGTGACTTCACTTCACAGTCCTCCATCTCCCTGGGGCTCAGTACTCTCATCTATTTGTTTGGTTGGTTTGGTTTTGAGAGGGCACAGCAAACACTTTAGAAGATAGAATGCAACAGCAGAAAGAATTCCCTCTACTCACTCCTAGAGGCCCAGGAGGCACAGGGATCTGGTACAAAATCAATTAATTTAATTAATTAATTTTGAAAACGTATCATCATCTCTGTGGGGGGGGTCACTTCCTCCTCCAGACGGGATGTGGGCCAATTCCTCTACACTTTCTATTTCATCATTTTTGTTACGATTGGTTGCTGAGATCCACATGTGTGCCATGGAGAAGAACAGAATTTAAAGACCAACAGAGAAGAAACCCCCCCCTAGAAAACTAACAGGGGCCAGAGGATAAAGCTAGAAATATACCAGAGGGCCACGGAAATGCTCTTTCACAGAAATAAGAATATGCACGGTGGGGGGAGAGCAGAGAAAGCCATAAAGAAGGAAAATTATAAATGTGGCCACAGCCTTCACAAGGTCAGAAAATTGGTCTCATGCAATTGGCAGATATTTCACAGTACAGAAGATATATGTTGAGCACGTCAAACAGCTCCATGGACATCAGTTCCTCCTGAGAAAGGCTATGGGGAAGTCATTTGTCACCTCAAGTGAAAAGAGGAAATGCCCACGTGTCAGTGAGTCACCTTTGTCCCTGCAGACGTACCTGGGACAAGGTGAGCAATCTAGGTGGGACGCTAGCTGCAGATCCAGGACTCCAGGCTGGGTGGAAGAAGAGAGTGCACTGTCACAGTCGAAGAGGAACAGTGCCACCCAGTGTTCTGATGCCCGCACACACCCAACTGCAATGCTGTTCACAACTGAAAGAATTTGAGGATTTCTTTCTGCTAAAACATTCTTTCAGCCAGGAGGAGAGGGTGCAGGTCTCCAAACCTTCTGATTTCTTAGAAGGCTGTCATTCAACAGGGCAAGGACAAACAGAAGGTAGGCATTAAGCTGCCAACTGGGCTAACGAAAGGGGCTTAGGGGAGCAAGATAACAAACCCCTCAGTAGAAGGAGATGTTAAGGTACTGTAGGACAGAGAGAGATGCAATTCATTTGACCTACATCATGGAAAAAATGAGATGCCGAACAACCAGAGTTCGAATCCCACTTGTACCGCTTTCTCACTGTGGATCCAAAGACAAATTACTTTAAATCTCTATGAGTATCAGTTTCCTGTATGAAAATGGGGATGTCGATAACGACCACTATATTGCGGGCAGAATTAAATAGGTTTACATATATTTTATTTTTTCATTTGAACATGGATACAGTACTTTGTTTTACTTATGTATTTATTTTATGTGGTGCTGAGGATCAAACCCAGTGCCTCACAAGTGCAAGGCAAGGGCTCCACCACTGAGCCACAATCCCAGCCCCAGCTTCACATATTTCAAAGAGCCTAACACGATGCCTAGAATCATCAGTATTCACTAAATGTGGTTTTCTCTTATTAAAAAAAAAGTTCAGAAAAGATTTCATTGGAAAAGTACCTTTTGAACAAAGCCCCAAAGAACTAAGACTTGTGTTTTCTCTCCTGAAGAACTCTTCTTAATCCAGAGAACACCTCAAGATGGATGCATATGAAGCACTGAGGATAGACACAGCTTTCCCTCCAGCCAAGAAAGGGACACACTGCTAAGGGGAAGAGGGTGATGCTGTCTCAGGCAGCTGACCCAGACATTCCACAGAATGTGCAGGGTGACCAGTGGAGAAAGACTACAGAGAGAGGAGACTCTATTCCTAAACACCACTTTCTGCAGAGCTGCAGTTAGAGATCAGAGTCTCCACTCTCTAGCTGTTTCTTTACAGATTCACGGGCTGTGTTTGAAAACAGCAGGCCTGGGAGATATTTGTTAAAGTCAGAAAGAGAGGTTATCCTTGCAATTATGGGCATGATCTTCTGCTTTTCTGTCTCTAATGGATTCAGAAGGCATTGTTACTAGAGAAGAGGCTTATTCTAGGCTGAAGGTACTGATTTCTCAGAAAGGCTTATTTTCCTGGCTGGTGAACCACACACCTTTAAATATTTCCCAGCTCTAACACTGGAATTTTCAGATCCCTCCAAGTCCTGATCAACAATCATAGCAACATTTCAGGGGAGAGAGAATAAATATGTATTGTGATATTGAAAAGATTCTCCCTCCACACAGCCAAATAGAGGAGATGCTCGCTGGCTACATGACTTTCCTACAGCTCCACCTACTGTTGTGCACGAGCCTCCTCAGGCAGCAGATGGCCCTCCAGAACCTCAGGAAACCAGTGCTCTCTTACCTTAAATCCTGAAATCAAGAAAAATAGAGATCAGCACTGGATTCGGTGCCAGAATATGCCAAGAAAAGTGGAAGGGGCACCCTCAATCCTAGAGGCATTTATTTTTATTTTTAGTTTTAGTTTTGGAGCTGGGAACTGAATCCAGGGTTGCTTAACCACTGAACCACATCCCTGGCCCTTTTTTTGTACTTTATTTATAGATAGGGTCTCACTGAGTTTGCTTAGAGCCTTGCTAAATTACTGCGACTGGCTTTGAACTTGTGATCCTCCTGCCTCAGCCTCCAGAGTTGCTGAGATTACAGGCATGCACCACAGCACCTGGCCCATGAGGCACTTTTTTATTCTATGAGTAGGATGGGGAAAGACATCAGCACAGGAATAAATTTGTGAAATGTCAAAAATAAATGTAATTAGATATGAAAACAATAATTGAGCACCTACCATATGCCTGGAATTGTGAGGTGCAGGAGGTACTACAGTGCTGGACGGGGACCGGTATTTTGCCTCCAAGAGCTAACCTGAAAACGGACAATTCAAACAGACTGGCTGAGTATGGGGTTATGGTATCAGGAAGATGCTTGGGAAGCACAACACACCTAGGAGAGCCCGAGGACAGGGCCAGGGGTGCCTTGAAATGTCTATCCAGGTAAAGGATTAAAGAGGAAGAGAGGACTACTCAGGTTAGGGGTTTAGTGGACGCACGCAGGGGTTGTCGGGAGCTGCCTGATTCATTGATGGGGTGGGGTCCTGCACTGCACTGTTCGTGCTCTCTCTGACCACCCCTCCCCACGGCTGACCTGAGATGGGAATTCAGAATGGAGCCAACGCAGCCCCTGAGTGGACCCACTTGCTGAGGAGCAGCCCTGTGCGCTCTGTTGACAGAGCAGCTGATACACATGGTCTGCAGGTGGCGCTCGCCTCTCAGGAGGCCGAGGCAGGAGGAACACAAGTTGAAGGCCAACCTTAGCAACTTAGTGAGACCCTGTCTCAAAATCAAAAATAAAATAAAAAGGGCTGGGGATGTAACTCAATGGTAAAGCACCCTTGGGTTCAATTCCTAATACCACCAAAAGAGAGAGAGAGAGAGAGAGAGAGAGCTATATAAAGTCTACAGTAGAGAAACTATTTGAAGAGCTTTCCCCCACCTCACTGCTCTCAGCAGCTGTCTCTTATTATTGTTGAAAGTTTCTTGTACTAGGAACGCTGCAGCTGCCCTGCCCCCGGATCTGTGCTACACACAACACTCAGGGTGATTCTGTTCAAGCTCTAATTGAATCTTACCACTCACAGGAGAGCCTCAACTGTCTGGTGATTTTTTTATCTGTGTAGAAGCCAAAGTAACTAAATTTTAATTTCAAATAATTCACAAAATTCTGTGTGACCTCCCTGGTGATCCCCAGGACACCTAGAATCTGCTCTCCTACCGCCTGACTTTCTCCCTTGCTCATTCTATGGGGTCTCCCTGTTCTCCCTGCTGCTGCTCACATGCTGTGCCTCAGGACATTTGCATTTGCTATGGCCACAGCCTATAATCTCTCCCTCCCGAGATCCCTGCAGCTCACTCACTTGCCTCCTTTAGGGTTTGCTCAAATATCAGTGTTTTCACAAGATCTTTTATGATCTCTCCATAAAAAGTTAAAATACTCTACCATATTCCCTACCCTTTGCCCCATTTTATCAGAAAAAAATGTGTTCCTCTATTCCCCAAATAACTTACTAAACCCCAGTCACACTTTCGATGCTGGAGGAATGTGTGCCTGCCTGGAGCCCACATTCTAGTGGGAGATCTCTGTGTTTAACCATGAATTCAGTGAACTCGGAGGTGAGAAGGGGGCCTGTGTTGAGGTGTCACTGGATCTACAGAGTGGGATAGGAGCTGAAATTAGAGACCAGCTCAGAGGAAGGACCTGGTGGGTCACAGGCTTTGGTCAGTGCCTTCCCCAACCTCCAAATTCCACGCCCCAAACATGACAGGTTTTCCCCTGAAGAACTACCCTTTCCTCATTTTCAGCAAAACACTTTGGGCAAGATTGATTTCAACCTCAGTCCTAGGGGTGGGCCTCGACTGACCTAAGCAAGCAGCATGGGTCCCTTTGGCCACTGACTGATTTGCAGAGGAGCTTGCGACTCACTTCAAACAAAATGTTTGTGGGGTGAGCTAGAAAAAGACACCACGGTTCTTCCCGTGGGCAGCACAGGTGAGAATGGGTCTGCTAGAACTGTTGCAGCCATTGCTACCATGAGCTAGAGAGTTAACGGTAACAGGTGGCAAATGGTGGCCAAAGCAACACACAGAGAATGGCAGTGTCGAGAGAAGGGCCCTAATAAAATCATGAACACCTGGATCCATCTATGCCTGAAGCACAATTTCTGATCTTTTCATCTTATGAGGCAACAAACTCCCTTCGTGGATTATTTTTTTTTTTTCAGGCTATAAAATCAGTACATGAGGAGGGGGTTTTCAAGATGGTGGAATAGAGGAGATCACATTCCTGACTGCTCCAAGGCATGAAACCAAGAAAGTAGACAGGCAGCTTCTCAGCAAGGTGGGTGAACAGAAAAAAAGTGTGTGTGTGTTGGAGGGGGGCGGGGACTGGAATTTAAAACTGGACATTCAAAGCAGATCGGGGACATGGGACATTGGAAATAATAAAACAAAGAAGAAATCTCCGGCAGAACAGCACAGCTGCAGCCAGGCCCCCAGCACCACCCACAACAGTTCCCCCTCAAGCTACATGGAGGATTAAGGGAGCTAACGCAACTGCATTTGGGGAGTCCTGAGGTGTATCTGGTTACTAGAGATCAAGGACATGGTCCAACAAACCTGAAAGGCTGCTGCAGGATATCCCTGTGTGGGAAAGAAGCCCCCAGCTCTCCAGGCAGCATTTGGAAGACAAAGGAAGGGACCATTTTGCAGCCACAGCGTGGGGGCTCGCAGCTGATGGCAAAGCCAAGTTTGGCCCAAAATACAAGCCCAGAAAACACACTGCATGGCATGGAGTGTGCTTAAGTGACCAGGAGTAAACCAAACTGGAGAGAGGTTTACACAGGGGACAACTGGTCATGGAAATCCACCCAGCTCTACTCCTCCCCCTCCAATTCAACTGCTTGCAGGACCTGCTGGGAGATGGGGAGAACTTAGAAGGGTGGGAGTGGGAGAGAGTGTTTGGAGACTAGTCCCCAGACCAGGAAATGTGGGGTCTGCAGATGATAGAGGGGACCAAGACTTAGCTCCTCCACCACAAAAGTGGAACCCAGGGGACATCCCTAAGGTAAAGTCTTCCAGTGTGGACCAGCAAGAACTGGGTCCTGGAGGGGCACTGATTTAACATCTCCAGACCAATTAACACTCAACTAAGAGCCTGGAGCCTGCCCAAGCCTAAAGGCTGCCTCCTAGAAAGGCTTCCACCTCCGGATGACCTCTTTCACTCCAGCAATCCAGAGGGTGGAGCATCACACTCCAGATGACCCCAGCGTCTCTGAGAAGAGAAGCTGAGAATCTTTTGAACTCCAATGGAAAGAATTCTTTAACTTTTCATCAAGATTTTTTTTCTTTTCTCTGTTTAATTGTGACCTTAATGGTACATGGCTATATACACATATTCATATTGTTTTTTTTCTCATTTCTAGCAGTTTTGAAGACAGTTATTTTTCATGGATGAGTTTTTTGAGGACTAGGATGTTTGATTAGTATATTTTAGTTTTATTTTTTATTCTTTTATTTTTTAATTTGTTTGAAATTTTTACTTATATTTTTTTTCTTACCTCTTTCCCTTGATTCTCTCTTTTCTTCTAATAACAGCAAGCTCAATTGTTTTCTTCACTCTTTTGTTAACTATTTTTTACTTCTAGCTTCTCTCCTCCCTCATAATCATCATATTTTATATCATTTCTGTTCTCTCCCTGTTCACCATTTGAAATTATAAACCCTTTTGCAAACTTGCTATTTTTTATTATAGACAATAATTGGATCATATCATTTCTGTTTATTGTGATAATTAACATCATAGACATCATAGAAGGATGTATTTGGTTTAATGCTATGTATTGTTTGCCTTGGCTACTGTCATTATTTGTGTCCCCCTAAACAGTGAGGTACTAGAAACCTTCAGGGTCACAAAAGGGTTGCAAGGTTGGTTCAACATATGGAAATCAATAAACATCACATTAATATACTTAAAGATTAAGACAAGAATCACATGATTATCTCAATAGATGCAGAAAAAGCCTTTGACAAAATCCAGCATTCATTCATGCTCAAAACACTAGAAAAACTAGGGAGAGAAGGAACATACATCCACTTTGTAAAACCTATGTATGCTAAACCTAAGACCAACATCATTCTAAATGAAGAAAAATTAAAAGCATTCCCTCTAAAAAACTGGAACAAGACAGGGATATCCTCTTTCACCACTTCTATTCAACATGGTCCCAGAAACTCTAGTCAGAGCAATTAGAAGAAAGAAATTAAAGAGATATTAATAGGAAAATAAGAGCTCAAACTAACACTATTTGCTATGACACAACTGTATATTGTAAAAGGGCCCAAAAAAATTTCACCAGAAATGTTCTAGCACTAATAAATGAATTCAAAGTAGCAGGTAATAAAATCAATACACATAAACAAAATGTATTCCTATACATCAGTGATAAATCTACTGAAAGAGAAATTAGGAAAACTATCCTATTCACAATATTCTCAAAAAAAATTCTTGGGAATCAATCCAACAGAAGAGGTGAAATACCTATACAATGAAAACTACAAAACACTAAAGAAAGAAATTGAAGAAGACCTTACAACATGGAAAGATCTCCCATGTTCTTGGATAGGCAGAATTCACATTGTCAAAATAACCATACTACCAAAAGCACTATACAGATTCAATGCAGTTCCTATTAATGTTCTGATGATGTTGATGGCAATTATCAAGAATATAATTATAAATCAACAATAAATATTAGTGAGAATATGGGGGGAAAGGCACATGCAGACATTGCTTTTGGGACTGCAAATTGGTGCAACCACTCTGGAAAGAAGTATTGAGATGCCGTAGCTAACTTGGAATGGAACCACCATTTGACCCAGTTATCCCACTCCCCAGCATATACCCAAAGGACTTAAAATTAGCATACTACAGTGACACAGCCATTCCAATGTTTGCAGCTCAATTCACAATAGCTAAGCTATGGAACCAACTTAGGTGCCCTTCAACAGATGAATGGATAAAGAAAATGGGGTACATATATACAATGTAATATTACTCAGCCTTAAAGAAGAATGAAATTATGGCATTTTCCCATGAATGGATGAAACTGGAGACAATCATACTAAGTGAAATTAGCCAATCCCCAAACCCAAAGACTAAATGTTCTCTCTGATATATAGATGCTGACTCACAGTAAGTAGGTGTGGGAAGGGAAAAGTGGAGGCTCACTGAATTGGACAGAAGGGAATAGGGGGAAGGGAAGAGGGATGGAAATGAGAAAGACAGTAGAATGAATCACACATAAATTTCCTATGTTCATACATGAATATACAACCATTGTAACTCCACATCATGTACAACTATAAGAATTGGAAGCTATACTCCATGTATATATGATTTGTCAAAATACACTCTATCCATCATGTATAACTAAAAAGAACAAATAAAAAAAGAGAAAAAAAGCAAGTGAGACAATACATAGAAAACAATGGTTGTCTTTATAAGATTTTCCACTTTTATAACTTATCTCAGAGATGAAAAAGCTAAAAATGCAAAATCTCTTATTTTCTTAAGGAAAATAGTGTCAAATCTGACCATTGATAATTGCTTTTACTTTAATAATTACTCTTACAACAGCACTACATTTTTTACTGCTTTGTAAGAGATAATTGGCATAGATAAGCAGCATGTGAGTAATTTGTGCAGTTGGACAAGTTTTGACTCTATGTATAACCTTGAGCTCACCCCTAGGAGGAAGATAGTGAACATACCCATCACCTCTGAGTTTCCTTGTGCCTTGGGGTTAATTCCTGACTGATGTCGCCCTGTTCCCTTCAGCAACCACTACACTGTTGGCTGACACAGTAGCTTAGCTCAGCACTACTTTTAATAGTCTGTAACTAAGCTAAAATAGTCCCTTTTACTCAATTAAAACTTGTTTTATCTCTTAAGAGTAGAAGTTCTAGAGTGAGAAGGAACATAACACAGGTTGTTAGAAATAACCCTTAATTGAGTAATGATTTTGCAGATTCTTCTTCATATTCCATAGTCCAATACTAATTGGATTAAAGATTTAAGGATCCAGGAAATGAAGTAAAAGAAGAAATGTGTTGATTTTAATAGTGTTTCTTTTTCATTTCTAATCCATCAGCTTACTTCTAATGAATAAATGGATTTGCAAAACCTGGCCAAAAATGCAGATCAGATCACTGATAAATGTTCAGATAAGCTATATATGTAGAAGTCCCATGTCAATAATGAAATAAAGTGGACAGTTGGAAATAGTATTAAAGACTATCCTAACTTTGTCTTGTGAAAATACGAGTTTACTCTCAATTTTACTACAATATATAAAAATTATATATTCCCATAAGTAAAGATTTGTTTGAGATGGCTAAAAACTGTAGCAAGTCAGTTTTTTGTGGTTTGTAACCATATATATTTTGTTTTGAATTAAATAGTTTTATAATGTATGCATAATAAATAATTTATATCTATCCTTTCAAATATACACCATTCTATTGAACTTGAAGGCATGCTTTTGAAGTTTGAGAGTGTTTTTATAAGATGTGATATCTGAAATAAACTCAACAATTTATTTTTTTAATATCATACATGTTTGCTGAAATGTGAGAAATAGTAGAAAGATATGTAAGACAAAGATAACTAGCCTTTTCCATGTTCCCTCCCAACCTACCCTCTGAAATCCCCAATATTATGAATGTTGTTAGGGGCTGAAGTGTGACTCCCTAAAAGTCATATGTAAAAGTCCTGATCTTAGTGCCTTAGATGTGAATATATTCGGAGACAGGCCCCTTAAAGAGGTAATTAAGTTAATAGGAGGGCATTGGGGTAGGTCCTGATCCAGTGGCAGGTATCCTTACAAGAGGAGGTCAGGACGGGGCTGGGGATGTGGCTCAAGCGGTAGCGCGCTCGCCTGGCATGCGTGTGGCCCGGGTTCGATCCTCAGCACCACATACCAACAAAGATGTTGTGTCCGCCGAGAACTAAAAAATAAATAAATATTAAAAATTCTCTCTTTCTCTCCTCTCTCTCACTCTCTCTTAAAAAAAAAAAAAAAAAAAAAAGAGGAGGTCAGGAGATAGACATGGAGGGAGGACCTTGGGATACACATGGAGAAAGACGGCCATTACAACCAAGGACATGGGTCTCTAAAGAAACTAACTCCACCAACATCTTGGTTCTAGCTTCCAGAATTTTGTGAAAATAAACTTCTGTTGCTTAAGTCACTGCTTTATACTGAAACTTGCGTCCCTCGAGACTTGGATGTTGAAACCTATCTCTAATATGGTGGTACTCAGAGGTAGGACTTTGGAGAGTTGTTTGGGTGTAGATGGAGTCTTGGGAGTAGATCCTCCAGGCTGAGATTAAGGCCCTCGGAGGGGGATGAGCTGCCAGAAGTCTCTCTCTCACCCCCTTGTGAGGATGTAATTTTAAGATAGGTGCCTGCCAACCAGGAAGCAAAACAGACACCTGACTGTGCAGGCACCTGACCTGGGACAGCCAGGCTCCAGAACTCTGAGAACCAAACTTCAGTTGTTGAAGCCACCCAGTCTGTGGTACTTTGTCTTGGTAGTCTAACTACCTCCTGCAGATTTGTATCTTTCCACACCTCTCTCCTTGT